GTTGGGTTATCTAACTTCTAAACCAAAATGAACAAATCCCTAGTTCTTTGTTTTTCAAAACAGTTTGGTTCTATCACAAGTGGAAGAGAGGACCAGATTACATGTTTTCTAATAAGATGAAGACAGCCTGTCGTGTTCTGCTTTGTTCAAAAAAGTTAGGTACCCCAGTTAGGAAACAAACAAGTTACAGTAGGTACCTCAGGTAACAAAAAGGTTAGGTACCTCAGTTAGGAAACAAACAAGTTAGGTACCTCAGTTAGGTAATAAAAAGGTTAGGTACCCCAGCTTGACACATGAATTCAGTTACTCCCCAAAACTGAAAATGTCACTACACGATACGAGGAAGTAGCGTCCCACAAAAAGTGTTCAATTGTGTTTCATTGTTATAAGAATACATATTATTTGACAATATCCCCCTGTAGTATCATCTAAACATCATCTAAATACATTAAAACCAGTCCCTTCCCTTGGCAGAACCACCATCTGTAATATTTGCAGTAGAATAATAGTAATGATGAGGGGCCTCAGTTGTCTATCAAGGATTTGAATGAATTTCATCAAATCAGGAAGCTGTGGGGGCGGGGCTGACTGCATTCAAAAATGGTCTATCTATTTGAATAGCAACTGACTTTCACTTTGAACTAAATAAATAACTCGGGGGGGAAAAAGGCATTTGGATGAGGCTGTACTAAAATAAAGTTGTTTTTATCATAAATGAAAAATACGTGGACTCCTGATTTTAAAAAACAAATCCAAGAAAATATCACAGCTATATTTAATGATATCCGAGGATAATCCATTGTCACGCAGCTCATAGGACACGGTACATTCAGAACATCTTAAGAGTTTTTACATCACATGGTTATTTTTTGTCTCTCTTATGTACACACAGAGTAGAACACACTAATATTCCATCACGGACAACAATAGACAATGTGTATGGCTTCTACCGTATGTACAATGATGTTTAGCAGCTGCGTAGCGAAGGTTTAGCGACGAGAAAAGGTTTTGCTAATGGAAGTTAATTAGACTTTTTTCTTATGATTATGTGTGGCTGTGTGTGATATGGATGGGATAGGATTTTTTTGGAGATGCTGACGACAAATGTTTGTGGGCATCACACTGGACAACATGCATGAGACTGGACATGGTTCGTATTTACACATGTATGCGATGTACTTGAAGGAAGTCTATTATTGCACTGCACACAAATACCGGCCAAAGAGCAAACCACAACTAGTGCAAAGTAATTCATCATGGCACTGGCTACAGTACATAATAAGTAAGTAAATCAATAAATAAGGCCTTAAATAGACGATAGAAATAAATAAGGTAACAAATATACTGGCACTGTTGTAAAGTAAACTTGACAAATGATGAAAAAAGAACTCGGTGACATAACAACAGTCATGCAGTCACAAGCACTGTTTGTTTGGGTTATTCGCACATAACTTCATGATGGACCCCCCTTTGGTCTATTTTTAATATTAGTGTCCAACAAACAAACCCTTTGGTCAATTTTTAATATTAGTGTCCACTGTCCTGCATAATAGTTGGATGCATTGTGGAAGACAAACTACACATGATATGATGCGTGTCGTTGAAAAGATGGGATTGTCAATGAATCAAAATAAACATTAAGAGAATTTAAGGTAATTTGGGTTTGGCAAAATAAATGTTCAAAGTGCTAGTGAAACGCTGAACTGTATGCACTTGATTTTAATAATGTGTTTGTAAAAAACCCCCCCCCCCCCCCCCCCCCCCCCCCCCCCCCCCCCCCCCCCCCCCCCCCCCCCCCCCCCCTCATCACAATCAGACTGTTGTGTAAATGAGCCGATCATTTGATAACTCTTGTGTCCACAAGAATGGAAACTCTAGCACAACATTGACTGTATTTACATGATGTGAGACTTTTTTTAGCAAGCTACGTTACTATTTTATATTTCTTATAACTTTTGTATATCTCTATCTTATCTAAGTTCATATGTCTCAAATGTTCATTGAATTTGTTTGTACAGTGGTCTATGTGTCAAGGCGTCTAGTGTTCATGAACAACAAGGCTGGACGGCATTGGCTACAGGGTCACGTGAGTTGCTATGGTTCTGCAACATTAGTTGCCGAAAGTTTAAGTAAAAGGTGACTGAGATGGTGTTGTGGAGGGAGTTACTCAGCCGTGGCTATCATTGACTCCTGATTTCTTGAGTGACTGTTCTAAGCCTTGATCCTCCACTGCAGTCTTGCTCTAACATCTCTCCATTCACCTGCTGCCCCGAAACACGGGCTCAGTCATGCACTAGTGGGTGAGAGAGCCTCGATCTCAGCAGACTTCAGAGGTGCTTTTGTGTGTCGCTACGTTTTGTTCTTCTTTGCTTCGTCAACATCTGGATTGGTCATTTCAGGCACTCAGTGTCATGTCCGAGTCGTACAGAGAGTGTCCCGTGGGATCGCCTGTCCGGTGGACTCATTGGCCTTAGGCAGAGTGTGTCAATAATGTGAGGAGAGCTGTAGGGGGGCGGGGGGGAGGGGCGTGGAGGCCTTTGTGGGGGAGGAGGAGCGTGAGATAACAAGCCAGGTCGGGGAGTTTGGAGGGGAATCACGCATTCTGATGTGTCCGTGTAGTAAGTTGTCTCTAGGTCCTCAAACCATTGGGCCAGTATCTCCTCGGATAGATCACAGTACATTGGCGAGGTGATGACTGCTGCACATAGAAAAAGATCATTAATGACGATATTAATTTTACTGTGTTATCTCATGATTTCGAATTTTTGAAATTTAAAAGTAAAAAATTAGATGTGAAATTTTGGTATAAGGGTAAAAAAAAAATGTATCATGTGTAATCTCATGCGTCACAGAGGGAGGTGCTCAAAATTCAGTAATAATGCTTGGGCGTGTTGTATTGGGTGACAATTAACATTCTTTAATTATAATCATCTGATATTAGCGTGGAAAGATCTAAAAACCATCCCAGGTCGGTTTTTGATGGGAGGGAACATTTTACATACGACTGAATCTCGATTACTCTTCTAATAAAACAAAGTAGTCTTATATGCAAATATGTGGGATTCATGTAGGATTTACTTGTTTATACTTTATAAACTATGTTTAATGTAACTTTTATAGTTTTAATTGTAAAGCGTTGTGTCTCTGGTTCTGTGAAAGGCTATGATAAAGATATTTACTTATCTCACTATATATACAAGATATTTTGAGCTAGAATAAAAGTACAGCACTTATTTATTAAAGTTATTGGAGTTGAAATTGGCTCAAATTTGCTTGATGAGTGTATTTGTGGCCAAAATACTATAGAAAATTCTCTTCTTAGTGAGATTGAAAATGAGCTTGTTTGGAGATATTGGGAGAAATAGCCTAATATTGCATGTGATGTATAATGCGACTCATCAACTTCATGTTTTGAATTAATAATAATTTAATAATTATTTCAAATTGGATTAGAGAGATTGAAGAGACCAGACTAGTAGATTGCCCTTTATGGCTCCATACGTGACATTTTTTAAATTTCTTAATAACTTGGGGCTATTTGTGAATGCATGAAATGAGGACCTTGACCTTTGATGAGTCGCTTGGTCTGGACCCTGGGAGCGTCCACATGGCTGGAGCAAGGTGATGAAACATTGGTTTCGTACACTGTTGTTTATTTTGGATCCATAAGGTATTTTGTTACCTACAAATTACATATGATACTGATAAGAAATATGTATATTTTTCATTGAGTTGAAGCACCAGGAAAACACAATGTTGCACTCTCCAATTGTTAATCCTGGTATCTGAGTAATGCGTAAAATAAGCTAATTTTGATTGATATAATTCTTGTTATCTAATCCAATTTTGTTGCAGGAATCGGGTGTAATCCTCAAAACCACCACATGGGGGTCTGTTGCAACAGCTGACTATTGCTAAATACACAATAGTATTTACAGTCTATGAGACAATCTCAGGTATGAGGAACAGGGGGAGGCGCATACAGACTTATGCTCTAAAATCTGGGAACAGTCTCTGAAGGTGTGAGGCAGGCCTTCCTGCTGTGTTCAAGTCAAGGCTAAAACAGTTCTTTTGAGCCTTGCTGTGACGGATGATCATCAGCAGAGGATCATCATTTTATTATTTGAATGATTTTTTTCAAGTGTCATTTGTATGTTGTTTTTACAGTGCGTTTTTGAAATTGTTGAATAAAGTTAATTGATTGTGGAATTGTTTTCTGTATGTACATGCATTGCCGTTTACATATTTCTACATATGGATTGTTACTCATAATTCACCCTTCTGTTTGAAGGAGATGTTTTACGCAGTTCTTCCTTATTGTGTGTTAACTGTAAATGTTATACTATGAGCTGTAAATTCATTTTTCAGTCAAATAGATATATACTGCAATCATGTGCAATGTGCAACATGCAACTTCATATTGTCATGTACTATGTCATTTACTTTATCTTACTATTATTCTGCCTTTATGTACAGTATATAACTTTGCATTTACTCAATTTTATATATTATATATAATATATATATTATATGTATATATATATATATATATATAAAAAATTCTTTGAACGATGGTATTGAAGCATTTAAGTTCGAGTGTTGACTTTCTGGTAAAGGCTAATGAGTAGATTCCATCTGATGAGGCCAAGAACTAGGCCGAAAAGCGGTACGTACTTTAAATTACATGCATGAGAAAATAAAGGTTTTACCTCTTCTGGAACGAGTGCTTGGATTTTTACGTTTGCCTTACCTGGAAGTAACCTACTCGGATTTTTGTCACTAAGTTAAACCCTCTTTCCAATGGAGAACCTGGTTTTTGATATAATTTTACAAGCTTGTAACCCACAGCAATCTTAACTTTTGTTTTTTTTTTTGAAATAGCTAATACTTTTTTTGTATTATTTTGTGTGCTCCCTGTGTCCTTTATGTGTCCTGTATGTGCACTGCAACTTTGAAATTTCCCCACTGTGGGACGATAAAGGTTTTCTTATTTATCTTTTTCATATTTTGTCAACCTGACAACAATTATTCACATACAGTACATCACATAAACAATTATAAATAAAATAACTAAACAGGGTTCAAAAAGGGTTTGGTCGGCCTCTAACCAAGTTCTTTATCTATATTTGCATAGACTTAAAGTATAAAGTATTTCAAATGCTGGCCACCTGCTACATTTGAGATCCCAAACATCTTTCAGCAACTCCCTTGGCCATAGTCTTGGTCTCACGCTGGGTCTCAGTTTAAGTTATATAGGAGGATTTTGCCAAATTTTAGGAAAGAACCGCCCACTCCACTTTTTGAAAAAAATCTCTGTGGTACGTATCAGCAGAATGATTGACAATTAGGAGGACCAATAGTCCTGATGATCCACCCGGAAGTAGAAAATCCTCCTATATACCTTTAAGTCCTAACTCTGTGTATTTTTTAAAGTAGATGCGTGAAACGCCTGTAATCCCACCTCGTTGCCGTGGATGCACAGGTGGTGGGTGGTGCTGAGAGCCTTGAAGACCACCACCCAGCTGGCATTAGTGGACCTCTCGAAAAGCGTGTCAGCCATTTGTGGGATGTTCACGTTGGTGGTGTTTGTGGCGGACACAAGGTCTGCAACACAAGCATACACAACATTATTACTACTATGGATGGTAAAAACACATAAAGACAAAGTAGTTATTGTGAGGCCATATGTCACAGGAGTTTTAGAGACTCTTTCTATTCACTGCTGTCAGTAAGAGAAAAGTGGCTGAGTGGATAGAACTGTCTCTTCTCAGCAAGAAGGTCCTCAGTTCAAATCCCGGTCAGAACAGGGCCTTTCTGATTGGAGTTTGCATGTTCTCCCCGTGTCTGCATAGGTTTTCTCCGCGTACTTCGGTTTCCCCTACCACTAAAAACATGTACAATAGGTTCGGCATGTGCCTCCTGGACTGGCAAACCCGCTCCCATCTCTGTGTGGAGTGAGAGGACAAATGCCCACAATTGTGAACCGCTTTGTGACTCTGGTCTGTGAAAGGCGGTATATAAATAAAGATTACTTATTTTCTTTATTTTAGTCGACCATTGAAGCGATGGCTAAAAGTGTAGTTTGTGATCAGGCTAAATTGAGAATGTAATTTCCCTCAGACTCAGTAAAGTACCTCTCTCTCTATGAATCTATCTATCTATCTCTGCTACTAAAAATAATATGAAGCATCCCCTTCTGAGGTTATGGTCATAATATATGACAAAATATTACATTTGTAAAAACAACAGATTATATACAGAAGCTTGAAGTTACGTACACACAACACAACGGTCCTGTTTGATATGGTCTAACTCAGATCTGTGTCTTCAGAGTCAGAGAAAGATTCACAAACTAACTATTGACTCGTGCAATATGATGCAACACAGAGCAAAAGAATAGTAAAATAATCTCAGTAGGCCTTGTCATTCGTTTGCAAATGTTGATGTAAGTTTAGAATAACTGTGATTAAAGTTTGATTAAGCAGGGCGACCTAATGTTCAGAGCAGAGCGCCAGACACATCGGAGAATATTAAGACAGACGAGGACCTGCTGCTCATGCAAAGTGGTTCACAGCATAGAATACACACACACACACACACACACACACAGAGGCCTTTACTGCCAGCAATAAAGTCAAAAGCACGATGTCATTTTCCAATCCCTGCATCAGATCATGGTGTCTTTGTTGAAGTGGCTCTTCAGTGGAACATCAAAAATATAAATGAGTCAAATGGATTTATTGGTTACTTAATTTTTAGAACACCTTTTCAACATTTTATATTAGGGCACTGTATTTGAGCTGAAAGCAGCAGATTCTTTATTCCATGTGTATGTTGTTGACTGCCTTTGTTGAGGAAGAACCATCGGCTAAACCTGTATAGACGTGAACATAGAACTCTGGAATCCAATCTTGATAATAATGTATAATAATGTATGTGTTTGTTCATCCACCACAAAATCAATGCTTTTACACTGGGAAGACTGTAGAAACTCATTTTAGTCCAATAATCTGACAGCTGAAGGGCGAATGATTTTGTGTGCTGTGAGGAGACGTGTTATTGGCACATGTTCTTGATAATGGAGGGATAAGAAGCCTATTATATTGAACCAGGTCTTGCACCAATATAGGCAAGGCTGATCTGTAGATAGAAGCACTCACGGATTCCAAGGTGAACAAAGGAGACTGTAGCTTTGTGAAAAAGTGCAAGAAAGTCTGAGTGAAGGACAAAACATGGAAGCAGACTGGTCGGGGGCTTGTAAACAGATTATTTGTGACCACAGACAATGCCCCTCCCCCAAACCAGTCAAACTACACCTGTCTCTGCAAAGACCACTTAACACTGCATCTACTGAAGACTTATGGTAAAGTGATTGATAGACACTTATTGTTAAATGCAGGTCTAACCAAGAGGTTGTTTGTCTTAACCCTTTAAGCACCAGCATTGCTTTCATACATTTGATATGAAGAGATATAGAAGACTGCTAAGATCAATTATAGAAATAAACTAGACAAACATGTGTAGAGCGCACGGTTGCAATCTTTAAAAAGAATTCACCTCCAAAATATAATTACTGAGCCATTGTGCACGTTTCCTGAATGTTGTCCAAATCCAGCCTTAACTGTTTGGGTTCTGTTGCTCACAGACAAATAGATCACTAAACCTCCTGCCCAAAGCCAAGGAGAAAAAAAATATAAAATACAAAGATGCAATAAAAATGTAAGAACACATTTGTGGGAATCCAGGTTGCTATATAAACTACTACTCAATTTCACTACTAACAACAAGACCCAATATTGATACTATGGTGATAAAAACACTTATATTTCTTCTGTTGAACAATGGGCTGTATTACTTACCAAAACCATACTGTTTTATAAAATAAACTCACATTTTGTCCCTATGCGATTTAGCTGATTTCAGTACTATTACATTACGAAAATTAGTATGTAGTTTTGATATATGTTTTATCTATATTGATGAATCTATCTGATTGTCTATACTTTTGAAAACAATTAGAGTATGAGCTCATGTAGCACACTTTGGCGCAGCATACACATAGAAGGGCTAGCATAATTTATGAAAAAAACAACAAACCAATACTCTTCAAATGTATGGATGCATAATGATTACTAGAGAAGAATAGAATTGTCGTAATAAAAGTTGACACAGCTTTGATTTTATTCTACTTCTCTAGTTGTTTTTCCTGCATTGATAACAGTCAGTCCACTCAATCAAAACCCAAAATACGATTACATGAGATTACTGCCTTTGCACGCTCCGCTTATAATACTCTTCTGCCCTGTGACACTCAAATGTCTGTGCCTTCTATTCCATTTACTCTAATGTAATTCTATGTGTCCATCTTTTATCTTTGGTCTTGTTTTTGCCACAGAGCTGCATGGCCTCTGCGCATAGGATTGGAAGAGCTAAATTAAGACTCTTGCGGTAATCCATGGCACACACACTATACTGTTCTAAGAATGGGGCGTGCCGGGTACGGTGTCCACTCAAACTACTGCTGTATTGTGGTTGAAGTACAGGGATCAGGTACCCAAACTTTCTACACACTGGACATGTAACTCCTGCTCCTGACTAGTGACCTCAATAATTAGATATTATACATGGAGCTGATTTTCTCTGTGTGTTTGTGTGTGTGTGTGTGTGTGTGTGCGTGTGTTTGTGTGTGTGTCAGTGTGTGTATGTGTAGGCCTGCGTGCATAAGTGTGTTTTACTAATAATGTATCAGTTTTATGTAGCGCTTCTCAAGACACTCAAAGACGCTTCACATTATTCTTTCACTCCATTCACAGCGGTGATAAACTACTACTGTAGCCACAGCTGCTCTGTGGCACACTAAGTAAGTAAGTAAGTAAAGTTTATTTGTATAGCACCTTTCACAGACCAGGGTCACAAAGCGCTTCACACATTCAAACACACACAAGTCAGATTAAAAACAAAACACAGAAAAACACAGTTTACACAGTTCACAGAGGCCTATGAACAGTGGGGCGAGAAAGCCTGTCTAAACAAATGCGTCTTAAGTTGGGACTTAAAATCATCAACAGTCTCTAACAAGCGCAGAGACTGGGGAAGCTCATTCCAAAGGCGAGGAGCAACTGCCTGGAAGCTCTGTCTCCTCTGGTTTTAAAGCGAGTGCGGGGGACCATCAACAGGTTCTGAGTGGAGGACCTCAGACTCCTGTTGGAGACATAGGGGTGTACATAACTAACAAAAGTGAGGCAACCAGTATGTGCCATGGGCCCCTCGACCACTTCACACACACACACACACACACACACACACACACACACACACACACACACACACACACACACACACACACACACACACACACACGCACATACCAGACTCATAGGCAATGTGGGTGAAGTGTCTTGCCTAAGGACACAACCACAGTTTGGTACTTTACAGCTGCAGCCGCCCCACTGTGGCACCTGGTGTTCCCAGAGGTCTCCCATCCCAGTACTAACCAGGCTCTGCCCTGCACAGCATCAGAAATCTTATGGGATCTGGTTTTCGGATGCTTGTGTGTGTATGTCAAAGTCAATATCATAGTTGTATTAGATTCAAAGCAAAAAGCAAGCGCTGCAGTTTTAACTGAAAATAATGTATTACCAAATATCAGATTATCGCACAAGGAATTATGACTGTTTAGCAATCAAGCGACTACTCTAAAGGTTTTCAACAATGGAAGTAGTTGTGTTTAAGCAGAATTAAAGTACAGTACAAATCTGCTCACCTACACACTCTCCAGTCTGGTTTTGGGTTGGGTCTCAACTGGTTTGGGTCATTGTGGTGTGCATTGCCTTGAAAACGATAGCCCCGTTTCCACCAGCCCTACTTGGCCCTACGCTACTCTGTCAGTTAGGGTTATTTAGAACCACCTCGGCCTGGGTAGAACCAGGGCCAAGCAGGTACTAAAAAAGTGCCTGGCCTGGTGCCAGATGAATAGGGCAGGTGGAAACGGAGACGATTAGAGGGGAGGAGGGCCAGGTAGGACTGGTGGAAATGGGGCTTTAGGCCGCGACTTGATACATTGCGATATCCAGATACTAAACTAGAAGACGGGAGTATTTTGGAGGTGAAAGTGTAGGAAAAGAATAAAATATATAATATAATAGAAATGTGTAAAACATATATTTACTTTTTTAATTACAATTCCAAAAGAATCTATACAAGAATCACAGGATTCATTTACACTATATATCGTCAAAATAATATTTTCTAAAATCCTTTATATTTATACTGCAAAAACTGCTAAAATATATAGTAAATGCAACACGAATTCAAGTAGGCCAGTGGGACAAGGACAAACTCATTGTGCCAAGAGCTGCAGCTTTTTTTTCTTCCTTCTAAGTGATTTTAAAACCAATACAATCAAGCCTAATTCTATCTTTTATATCATTTTCTTTTCAATGTCAGATAGTTATGTCAAAATTTACGAAGGAGGGTACTGATAAAATGTGAATTATTTCGCATAAATCATGTAGAATTCTTAAATCCTTTGGAGGTGGCGATCTACTACTTGCTCTCAAACTACAGGCTGGAGACCACTGTACAAATGATAAGATTAGATTAGATACGATTTTAACAAATTTAAAATCTTGCTGTAGTTTAGAGGCTGATACCACAAACACACAAACACGCACACACCAAATGAAAGAAGCCCCTCATCACTGGTCCATCCCATTCGGATCTGTTTCCATGACAACTATGCCTCACTACTTTACCACGTATCCGCACTCGTATGGGTTTGACAGAAGATGAGCACAAGCACGAGCTGAATACATGGACAAGAACCATGTGCTTTACTGCTATCTGACCGTATAGCTGCTTTTTAAGGCTGCCAGTTCTCCCTCGCAACAGGCGAAAGAGACACTCCAAGTGTCCTACTTACGGCAGAATATTTATAAGTGTTGCCCTAGAAATTAGAAACACATTATAGGTATTTATAGATTAATCTAAGTCTAAATCACAAGCATGTTATATTGCCTTGCTCTGAAATGTATACTCATGATCCCCACACGTATCGTTTGAGTAGTATTGCATATGTCTGTGCGGTGTGGCTGTTATGGTGAATGATTGTGACCACAGTATACAAAACCACATATCTAGAAAATTTCATTGTAGCTTTTGAATTGTCACCTTTGGCGGTGTAAATAATGCAAGGCAGTCATTGGCTGATTATTCAATTATTCAAAAGGGAGCGGATCACAAGATATAAGGCCCTAGTCCCAGACACAAGACCAGACCTGCCCTGGACCCTGCAACATGCTGTGTGCTGTAGCACCTGGTCCAATGCACACGACGAGACAGAAAGTATGATTACTGAAGTGGTAATTTATGATTATGAGGGCTGTTAATACTCAATGTTTTTTTATTTTTCCTTTTGTATTCATACATTAGTGAGAACCAAAGCTTAAAGCTGATAGCAGTACAACATGAGAGTATTGTGGGTTAAAATTAAATTTATTTACTGGGGCTACAATAGGTGTTTGGGGGTCAGTGGTTCAACTTTGGCAATGAGAATTTCCAACTCTAAAAGATTAAACTTAACTAAATGCAAATAAATAACCATTCCTCGTATATAAATGAACAAAAGTATAGGCTTGGTGACATTATCATGTCAAAGACATGTCAAAGACATGATAATGCATGAACAAGCTAGGCATGAACAAGCTAGGCATATATTAATTTCATATGAAACAACAAACATTGTTTTCAAGCTGTTATAATGTGTATTTAGTATTTAAGTTCTAATGACCAGCAGTAATCTGATGCTATATTATTGTTGACCACAAAACCAAGTGTTTCTCATTTATTCAAAAGCTGCACATACAAGTATATGTGTTATACTATCAATCATAGTGGAGGCAACGGGTCACCAGGGGGGTCTTCATGGATGAATCAATTCATTAGGCCACTCCACCCTTTGAACGAAAAACACTCAAGGATGATAGTGGTACGCTGCACACACTGATAACCCACAGAGAATGGGCTATAAACAGAGAGAGGCTATATAGGCAGAGGATAGGCCTGTGTGTCTGATTCATGCACACATAAATCCAGTGTATGGAGGAGCTGTATTTTCACTTACATTCCAGGTGCTTCTTTTTGGGCGGCGACACCTCGTGAGTAGTGGCTTTGCACACAGCACGGGCCATGTCGGATCCCGTGAGCTGGTACTGCGCAGCGGCGATACGATCAGTGAGCGTTTGTCCCGACATTTTCTTCCCCCGTGTGTGTCAAGTCGACCACCTCACGAATGAATTTGAACCGCTGCGGCTGGGAAAAAAAAATACGCCTCCCCCTTCTCTCTCTCTCTGCGCTCCCGTATCCACTGCAGGCCCTTGACCTCTGTGCAAAGCGGAAAGAGGGACAGAATAAACGCACAAAATCTCGACATGGACGCCTTCTCACGCGTCAGATCGAATGGTTGCGTTGAAGAGTATGCATGAAAACATTTGTAGGTATACTTACAAACCAGGCGAATTCCCCCACTGCCTGGAGAGTCCACTTCAGCACCTTGGACAGCTAAAGCCACTCGGTTATGTAACGCACGACTGGCAATAGAAGCGCCTCTCACAAACCCCGCAACCAGCACCAACACGGAACAAATGATGCGTTAAAAGCTTCACTGATCGGAAATACAATGATAGCGATTGATTGGACGCAAATTAGCACCACTTGGATCGGTCAAATATCCCGTTTGGAGGAGGGGGCATCGGTGTTGGCTGTTTCACCCTCGCAGAAGTCCTTCAAAATAATAGCACCAGCGGAGATGGGGATGTTTATATGTATATGTTTTCTTCCTTATCTATTGAGGTTTGAATTATTTTTTGATCCGGAGCTCGACGCAAAATCCCCCACCTCTCCCCGAGGTGCCGCTAACTCTGCGCACAGACGCACAGGCGAAAACAGGGGAACAGGAAAGGACTGCGCGGAATCTCCTCGGCTTCCTCCTCGCCCCCTTGTGGTTTCTTTTATTACTACCGATGATTATAAAGTAATGTATTTCCCTATGCTGTCAATGCAATACTCTGTAAGTGGTTTTAAGTAAGTAATCTAAGTAAGTAAGTAAGTCATCTTTATTTATATACCACCTTTCACAGACCAGAGTCACAAAGCGGTTTACAATTGTTATTTTTGGGCACTTGTCCTCTCACTCCACACAGAGATGGGAGCGTATAGTGAAGGTAACATTGGGCAGACATTCATTTGGAAATGTTCAAAGCCATGTTACAAATGTTGAAAACTTGCACTTCACTGGCTATACTGGCACATGTTTCCTTGTTACATTATTAGCTGATTATTTTCTACATGTAAAAAAAAAATCTGAATTCTCCTGACTTTGCAGCTTTGCAGTGGTGGTACAATGTGGACAGATCCCTATATCAAGCTAATGCACAGTACGTTATATGTATGTGCAGTATTGGGAGTAAATTGTGAATTTTGTAATATGTCACTTATATGCTTTGTTTTCTCACCGTTTGTAATTATTTGAGGATAGTAGTTGTATTTTTAGGTAGTTAAAGAGACTACATGTAATATGTATCATTGGTGGTCTAGAAAAGTATTTACAATTAGAATTCAACTTCTGCTGCCATAATCTTCCTGCCTTTGAGATATGTAGATTCTAAGCACTGATTACAGATGCAATTCACCTGCTGGGGTTTAGCTAGAAACAATACAAACTCTGTATATGCGTATTTTTGTTAGTGAATTTTGTTTAATATGTTGCATTTTTATCCATAGACTGTATATATCCCAGTAACTAGTCATGTAAATATAGTACGTTTTTAAAGTAACTAACCAATAAAAATCTATGAAACAGATCCGTACTGTCAATGGAAAAGATTTTTCAGATCCGTTATTGTAATAGATCCATGGGGAAATCCTGCAGCAGAGGAGCCTCGTGACGCACATCGTGTCCGTGATTACGTCATCACGCAGAGACCGAGGCCACGTCAACAGCGGACTGTAGAAGCAGGAAGTACCGATGTCAACGCCGCAACTCTGCGAATAGTAAGTCACTTTTATGAACGACTTGATGACATATAAATTCTGTCTTTTATCGGAAAATAGTTCTGCTAGCTCGCAACATAGTTTGTGAGCACAACACAACCTAATAGGCGAGATAATTCTTTGTGCTTATTTGGTAGTTGTGCATTTCTTTCTCAGTTGAACACAGAAGAGTGAAAGTAACTCTGTCTGTTTGCATAAAGTAATTTTTTGATCTAACATCATATTAAAATCGTCTTTATTTTGTGTCAGTGTCAGACCAGTTCGCAGAAGTAAACAAGCACTCCAGTCAGCACCCAAAGCCTCCCGGGCTGGTGTTACAGTATGGCACGGCTGGGTTCAGGACTAACGCCAAACTTCTGGACCACATCATGTTCAGGATGGGACTGTTGGCCGCACTGCGCTCCAAGAAAACTCAAGCCACCATAGGAGTTATGGTCACAGCATCACACAACCCAGAGGTGAGCAGGTGTCCTTCCACTTTAAAGATCATTTAAAACTGGTGTAGTAGTTTATTTCTTCGGTCTTTATGTACATTAGATCTCAGGTCACCTGTTTTCAAAGATTGCATACATTTTACAATAAGAAGAAAAGGCTCTAGATTGTGTCTATTAAGAATGCGTGCTAAATAATGCCTGAACGAAAGGGGTTTAGGCTGAAGTCGTAATTTATATTGCTTAATCCCTATTGCAACTGTGAAAATACTAAACTTCTTCATCTTTTCCACTTTTCTGTCTGAAAAAGCTGATCGATAGACGTGACAAAGCCCAACAATACATGCATTTGAAAACTAGTGATGGAACCAAACTGTTTTGAGAGCAAGAATCTCATGACATGGATTTGTCTAAATAATTTATTTCTTTTTTTGTTTCAAAGTTACTTAGTCCAGCTTTAATTTCAAGTACTTATTATATTTGACAAGAATTAATTAAAATTGCTACTTCTACTTTTCTGTAAGTAGAGCCACTCTGAATGATTCTTTTTGATAATATCTTGTTTTAGGAGGATAATGGAGTGAAGTTGGTTGACCCAATGGGGGAAATGGTGACTCCAAGTTGGGAGGGCTATGCTACGCTTCTGGCCAACGCTGAAAATGAAGACTTACTGGCAGCTTTGAAGGATGTAATCGCCAAAGAAGAAATAAACATGAGCTACGAAGCAAAGGTTTTTGTGGGCAGAGACACCAGGTATGTTGTTAAAATGATATGTTTTCTACCTGTTTACATATGACTTAAAGTCCCTGTTTACAGGAGCAGTAGTGCTGCGCTGTCACAAGCGGTCCTGGAGGGGGTCTCTTCTTTCGGAGGTCTTAGTAAAGGTTTGTATTCGGTTGTTCTACATAATGAAAATAATGAATTCAACTTTACTTAATGACTTTAACTTCTTGAACGCTTGAACTTTCATGTCTTGTTTCTCATGAAGACTATGGTTTGGTGACGACGCCACAGCTACATTATATGGTCTGCTGCCAAAATACTCAAGGGAAATATGGAGAAGCTTCAGTGGAAGGCTACTACAACAAGCTTTGTCAGGCCTTCTTAAAGCTCCTCAAGCATGTGAGTAACCAGACAGATACTTAAATTGTGAACTACATTCTGACCACATGTCACTACTGTAATCTCAGGCATCAAACTGCACCGATGATCAGAAGCACCTTTCTCTGGATGGAGCAAATGGAATCGGGGCTTTGAAGGTTCGAGAGATGGAGCACAACGTAGCAAAAGAGCTTCAGATCTCACTGCACAATGACGGCAGCACGGGAAAGCTCAATCATCAATGTGGAGCCGATTTTGTCAAAGTACAGCAGAAGGCACCCACAGGTATTGCCTTCATTTACTGTATAGTAAGCATATATGCAACTGATGCTCATAAGAATTGTGTTTTTTGCAACGTTTGAAGGCTGTGAGATTAAAGCTGGAGAGCGCTGCTGTTCGTTTGATGGCGATGCTGACCGTATTGTTTACTACTATAGTGACTCTGAAGGACAATTCCACTTGTTGGACGGAGACAAAATAGCTACACTTATTAGCACTTACCTCAAGGAACTCCTCATTCAGGTACACACACCTATGACACATACTAATAGCAAATGTTTCAAATGTATCTGATATTTGTGCATATGCAGGCTGGCTTAAACTTAAATATGGCAGTAGTGCAAACTGCTTATGCTAACGGCAGCTCAACAAGGTACCTTGAAGAAACCATGAAGGTATGCTTACGTACAGTAGATATAAATATAATATAAATGTGGTGAAATAACTGATTTGAATCTCTTCAATAGTTAACTGTGAGGTGTACTAAAACAGGAGTCAAACATCTCCACCATGTAGCACAGGAGTTTGACATTGGCGTGTACTTTGAAGCAAACGGACACGGAACGGTGAGTTTATGGACTACTTGTGTACATCCTACCATGGATTAAATTCTTCAAGGCTTGTGTTGTATCTTGTGTGTCCAGGTACTGTTCAGTAAATCTGCAGAAGACAAAGTCCAGAAGCTGTTTGATAATCCCAACAATGATGATGAAATGAAGAGAGCTGCACACTTGCTTCTGAACACTATCCATGTTGTCAACCAGGTATGCAGAGTGAATGTACAGCAAACACAAACGCTTACTTTTTACTAGTGAAATAATGTGTTGTTATTTTAGACAGTAGGAGATGCACTGTCTGACATGCTGCTAATTGAAGCCATATTAGCCATAAAAGGGATGACCGTGCAGCAGTGGGATGCCATCTATACCGATCTCCCCAACAGACAGCTGAAAGTCAAGGTATTAAACAATAACTCACTCAATAACAATTTCAGTTTTACAATTCTGTATTATCACTTCATTAAATGTGCAATATAGGGCACTAAGCAACCTTTTTTGATACTAATGGTGAATCCTTCAGCTTCATATAGAAATATATGTTCCGCAAAATGTATAATTGTAGACAGGTGGACAAAAAAATAAAATATTACTTAAAAGTCTATTTATTTCTGTTTATTCAACTAAAAATGTGATCATTATGGCAGAATTATGACCAGTTTAAAAAAAAAAAAAATCTGAAATGTTTTATTTGGATTTTTTACAAGCAATGAGCTATTTATCAACATAATATGAAATAAAGGATTGATGCATATCATCTTTTGTGTAATGAATTTGAGACTTTTGAACAATATTCTAATTAGTTCCACCTGTAAGTTAGCTGAGTGAAGTAACCAACTTGTTTCTTATGTACTAGCAAAGTTTAGAGACAAACCCCTGCCCACAAATTTTTTTTGTCTTCTTATTTTTGTGTTATGTTTGTGCTGTTTGGGGTTGTACTTTTGTGTTTTTGTTTTATGTTGTGTTCTTGTTGAATGTTGATGTGTTCTGCTGTATTTTGATAAAAGAAAGAAAAAAAGTTGCTCCACCTTTCTTCAATGCAAGAGAATCATTTCAAAAGGATAATGAGTATATCGTTGTGCAGGTTGCGGACCGCAGAGTGATCGACACGACAGATGCAGAGAGGCGGGCAGTGACCCCGGCAGGTTTTCAGGATTCCATTGACGCTTTAGTGAAGAAGTATCCTATGGCTCGCTCCTTTGTGAGACCGTCTGGGACCGAAGACGTAGTCAGGGTCTATGCGGAGGCGGACACTCAGGTCAGAAACCAAATCAACTGCAAATCTCTCACAATTTACAAACGTAGATGCATAATTAGTCATTTTCTGTAATGTGTGTTCAGGAGAATGCAGACGCTCTGGCACATGAAGTCAGTTTGGCAGTCTACCGTCTGGCTGGAGGTGTGGGCGACGAACCCAAACCACTGCACTAAAAGCACTAAATTCAGACTCAAATGGGTACTTTCGTCATCGCTATAGCACAAATTTGTCGGTATCTCAGCTGCCAAATCATTAACGCTAACTACTACTATCTACCTAGAAAATTAACAGTGGTACATGAACATTGTGTCAATAATATGGTTTTCCGTAGATTTCTTACCTTGTGATTTACTTTCTATGAAATCAAATGTTTACATGGGGCAGTGGTCTCATAAGCACCTTTTTTCAATGTGAATGGAGAAATTTGATTAAAAAAGTGGAATAATAACTACACATTTCTGGTTCTTGCTGTTTATTAGGTTAACACACATTATTTTCACACAGGTATTTTATAGAGCATTAAAAGATGGAAACATGCAAAATGTTAGAGTGAGTCATAAGAGCCAAGTAATGATTTACTATAGTCACAATTTTATCTAATAGTATCTATTCAATTTCTCAGCAGTTATTCTTCATCCGTGTCGTCCGCAGCTCCAGAAATAAGGATGGTGCGTTCTTGTGAGTCACTTTCTATTGTGTCCTCATCGGTCTTAACTGTTCTGGGAGAAAAAACAGTGTTACAAGAAACGGACATATTCAGAATACAAGATGGTTGATGGTCCCTTGAGCTCGCTACTTTTTCAAACAATGAAATCATGCAATAAAATCAATTTATGTTACTCACGTTCAAAACAATTTGGTTCTATCACTAGTTTTTCACATGCATTTTTTTGGGGGTTTTTTGTCATATTTTTTTATTGCTTTTTTGAGACAGAAAAGTGAAAACGAGAGGACCACCCTCCCTCAGCCAATCAGCTCAAAGCCTCAAACAGTGACTCACAGTACTCTTTCTCACAATTATTCAAAGATAACATTCTTTCTAAGAAGAAGAAGACGGCAAGTTCTGCTCTGCACATTTTACTTTTACAAGACTCTTGGGGCAAACAACATGGATTATTTATAGAAAATAGAAAATTAGGTACCCCAGCTTTAATGAATGTAAAAATATGGATTTATTTTCAAATAACGCGATATAGAAAGCCAGGTATTGGTACAGAAGCTATGATCACCCCTTTTTGCTGTAAAAGCCATCCTCTACCTGATCAAGACAGTCTTCCTCTCTGACAGCTCTGTGGCCTGGTCCAACAGGTCCGTCTGAGTGTCAGAGGAGGAAACTTCCACATGGCGTTTCTCGATCACACTCACTGCGGGCTTCTCCGGGCTGCCTCTGTCTGGAGCAGACGCAGGCGGAGCACATTTGGCTGCTGCTGAACTGGCAGAGATGGGCAGTTTTCCATTTATGGACAAGTTATGGACCATGGAGCTCAGACGACTGTCCTCTCCCTCAATCAATTTCCTGTGGAAGAAAGGGAAAGAATTTATCAAAAGGATTTGATTCATTTCACAGGCAATGTTTGAGCAGTAAAAACATTTGTCATTAAATATTAAACATTAAGTTGTCGTATTGTGGTAAAGAGGAAAGGTTTAAAAAGTCCAACCAAAGCCTGAGGCAATGTTGACGATATACCATAAATACAGTACACATCAAAACAAACTAATTACAGAACATTCATTCATACAGCACTTTTTTATTGACTAAACTGGACCAACACCCATAATTTGACTAAATTCTGAAAGTTTATATTTTAAACAGGTGCCATTCCACTAGAAAAAAGACATGCATTACTTTTGTAACAAATAAAATAATATTGTTTACCTATAGGTGGTTATTTCAATCTCAAGTGACATCTTGACGTTAAGAAGGTCCTGGTAATCTCGCAGCAGTAGTGCGATCTTCTCTTTCGTCACTCTCAGATCTACATTTAGAGCATCTATGCGCTCCTGCATTGGAAAACATTGTCAACATTTTCTTTTTTATGGCACAGCTGGTAAATCGCTGTATTTTTTTAACTTACCTGAAGATCCTCCTCTTTCTTTTTGTACTTTTGAGACATATCTCGGATTTGAGCCTCAAGAAACTCATTCTTTGTCTTCAAGGAATCAAGTTCTCGCTCCTTGTTGAGGATCTACATGTAAAGTGTGCATTTATTTAGATCCATTTACACAATGGAATAGATTAGATTATAATGGTTTACTTACATCCTTCTTGTAAGTTGCAATTCCCTCTCTTACACTTCTCACACTTTGCACATGTTTGTTGGACGCATTGGTCAAATCTTGGAATTTGGTTCCATACCAAGCATCCATCTCCTTTAAAGAAATTATAGCACTTTTATATATGGTATAATGTATCTTTTGGGCTATTCAAGTATTATCCCACCTGAAGATTCTTGGCTGCAATGCTGTCATACTGTGACTGAATGTCTCTCAGGGCCGTGCTGAGATCCGGTAGGCCAAAAGTCAATTCCACTTTAGACACAGTTGTATATATTTGTTGCATCAGCTCCTCTATTTCCTGAAGTTGGTAATGCATTTTAAAACACAAATAACATACACTATTTCAATGCCTGTACATACTGTAAGTGTGAAATTGAAAAAAATCCCTTCCCTTCCCCCACTGCTAAACCACACACCCATAATTATTACAACATCCATGTCACAATAGCATGTCTAAACTGTCACTATAATTGCCCTGCTATTATAGCTATAGCAACAGTATGGGACATTTTCCAGATACTGAACAAGTCACATACAAAAACGTGTCAAACAAGTATACAAGTTACTGTACCTCTTTGTGAACTCTCTGTAAGAACATCAACTCCAGCTCCAAATTTTCAAGCTGTTTTTCTAAGGCGATTCTTCCAGAAGTTGCCCTGTCCACATCCTACAAAAAACAAAGCAAGGTCAATTCTAAATAAAACGATTAAGCTATTTACTGTAACCCACTGGACGTAGGGCCTCAATCTCTTGCTCAGTCTGCTTTCTGGCTTCCACTGCATCATTGTATTTGGTCTTGAGCATTTCCAGTTGTCCCAGCATCGCTTCTTTGGCTGCCAATGCTATACTCTGCACAAGCAATTCAATATGATGTTATAATTGGAATAACACACAGCTGATATGTAACAAAGCACACTTAATACCCTTTGGACTCTCATCTGCTCTGCTTCTCTGTTGAGATCCTTTAGCTGTGTCTCATACAACTGCCTCAGGCCTGATGGTCTGGCATAGCGGCTCCTCAATGCTTCAATCTCCGCTTCCAAGACCTTATTGTGCGATTCAAGGGTCCTCACCTAACAGAATAGTATATATTATGTTTAGTATGTATGCATGTTTAATAGATTTTGACTGTGTTATTGCTCTTGCCTTTTCAATGTACACAGCCAAGCGATCATTTAAGGCCACCATCTCCTTTCTCTCACTACTTCTGGTTTGCATGAATGCCTGGTTTTCAGCTGCTGCAGCATCCAAGTCTAGTTTGGGGCCAAAACCCATTGACATTCCATAACATAGTGCTTCCAAGTTTGCACTGATCACAATGAGAAAGTATGTATTAATCAACTGCAAAAATAAAGTTGTTTAAAGTGATGAAAATGTTGACTTACCTGCTCATTCTGGACTTGCTGGAGTTGGTCCTTCGCCCCATTGTCCCAGCACTTTTTGTGAGGCTGGCAGATCTGTGGCGATTGCCCCTACGGATGGGTGAAGGACTGGACACCCTCACTTGGTACATGGAGGGTGAGGCCAAGATGACCTCAAATTGTCTGCGGTATGATGACATTTTCTCTGGGCTCCTACTCATGATGAAAGGTTTCTTTTGGTGGCTGTTGGAGAAAGGCAGGAGTTGTTGGTTTTTTTTATTTTTTTATCACATCATAGGCCAGTTCTGTGGTCTTTTATACTCACAGCCCTTCCCCAAACGCTGGACAGGAATGTTGAACCTCCCCTGCCAACAGGTGATAAATCTTGCAAATATCTATCAAGGTTATGCCAAGTAATTACTTTGGATTACATTGTGGAAATACATCTGATCTTTTAATAATTACATACACGTATGTTAACATGCCTGCATTCACTTATAAGAAATCAGCACACCGTGTTATTATAACAGTTATGTATGAGGTTATTGCTTTGTATTGAAACAGCTGCAAAAAGCAGATTACCAAAGGGGAACGTTTCATATGCGTTGCACACAACTACCCGGACATCTTTTATTGTAACCATCTGTGCTGTTTCGGAAAACCCTCGCATCAATTTCTTTGTAAAGGAATTGATTTAAATATACGTGTCTACTTTGTCTTTACAAAATGGCTGGGAACTTCTGGCAAAGTTCCCATTAGTAAGTTTGAATGCATATTTTCACAAGATGTGTTTTCTTTCTTTGTCGCCAGGCCCTGCTGCGCTAGCGGTGTATTGTGGCTTCTTTACAGCGAGCCAAGCGCTAATGCCTAAGCTAATATTGTGAATAAAATACCGTTTTCTGTCAGTAATAATAGGAACCCTGTAGAAATGTAACATTTTAATAATAATTGTATGCATTGAACGATTTTTTTTGGCATCGATGCACGAGGATATGCTTTACTAACTCGCCGAAATGGCTTGCTATGCGTTAGCCTCCTATTAACTCCTATTTACTGAAAGTCACTAAAATTGCATGTGTGAAAATGGTCACTTATTGCAAAGCATTTTCACAGTCTTCAATGGGTGCTGGACAGACAGGACCTGATGAAGGAGCGCCAGAAGGACCTGAAGTTTCTGACAGAGGAGGAGTACTGGAAACTGCAGATTTTCTTTGCTAATGGTACAATGGCCTAGTTGTTTTTTGTGTGTGAATTTTAGATCTGACATATTTGAATTAATTCGATTTATTTAAGGAAATGCATATCATATTTTGTACATCACACAGAAGTACTCTTGTTTTCAAGTCTTGTTATGTCCCAATAGTCATCCAGGCCTTGGGGGAACATCTAAAGCTCAGACAGCAAGTGATTGCTACTGCTACAGTCTACTTCAAACGTTTTTATGCCAGGTGAGTTTCATACCTTGATGCACTCAAACACTGTTTTTATCTATTAGTATAGTCAAATATACTAATGAATTGCACTTTGTTCCGGGATATTATTCAATTCTTTAGAATTTGTGTGATTTGGCACAGCATCAGAAGGTAACTAGTCATTAACATACACTACATCGCTAAATGCTCCAGCAGCTACGGCTATTGGTGCACACTGGGGTAGTCTTGCACAGTCTCTCCAATGTGGTTTTAATGCAAATGGAAAATAAATTCTTGAATCTCAAATTAAGATGAACTTTTTTTCCTAGATACTCACTGAAAAGTATAGATCCAGTTCTGATGGCTCCAACCTGTGTGTTTTTGGCCTCCAAAGTCGAGGTTTGAGATTTTTTTGTTTTAAGATACTATGTGATTTCAGTTTATGGCGTATAGGATTTCATTTGATTGTCTTTTTTATAGGAATTTGGCGTTGTTTCAAATACTAGACTTATCTCAGCTGCAACATCTGTGTGTAAGTAATAGTTTGGAAATGCTTATGAATGTTTAACTTTAACGCAATTTCTTAAACAATTTGTAAAAATGTATATCTGTTCCACGCAGTAAAGACTAGATTCTCCTATGCCTTCCCAAAAGAGTTTCCTTACCGAATGAATCATGTAAGTTTGAAAGCATTATTTATAATTATTAGTGACTTGACAACACGATAGCAACAATATACATCAGAGCTCGCTGTCTTTACCTAAATGGTGTTGGCGATGTACAAATTACAATCATGCCATAAACACTTGACTGTACATCATCAGTGTGGCGTGTGGCACAGTATGGGAGATTCCACTCTGACAGTTCACACTCCTATGCTGAACGGTCAATCCTGTTCGAGATGACTTTGACCTGTGTGAAAGTGCAGGCTCATTATCTTTCACCCAACAGCAGTATAGTGCCATCATGTAGTCTCTAAACTCCTGATGAATCAGCTTCTCGCCCTGTAGACTCTCCACTTTGTCAGTGTCATCATATAAATACTGTATATTTATGGAGATAAAATGAACTTTGAAAGGGTTCTATTCTCCACCTTCAGACGGGGCCTTTTTGTGTTCGTCTGCTCTGGTTACCTCTTGGGGCTCTGGTTTCACCTACTTCTAAAAACATACAATACAATATCTATAATAGTCCCCCATATCCTGCCCCGACCCAACCCCACTCCTGCCCCCTTGTCTGGGGCCAGGATTCTCGTGAAAAGAGATTCTGAAACATCAGTGCCGCTCTCCTGGTTAAATATAATGCCTTCATTGATACATACATAGATATTTAATCATACACACATAATATACTAATACATTTTAATAATTTCTCAACACTTTTTGATTTATTTGGGAAAGCCCTTTGAGATGCAGCATCTCATTTTCGAAAGGACATCTGTGGGTTTACTATTCTCTATTTGTTATGTGTCAATGTGCAATGTTTTTTACAGATCTTAGAATGTGAATTTTACCTCTTAGAGCTGATGGCAAGTATTTCTTTATACATAATTTAGTATTTGTTGGACTGTTTCTTATCGTTTATTGATTTGGGTTTTAGGATTGCTGCCTGATTGTGTATCACCCATATAGACCACTGCTGCAGTATGTACAAGACATGGGGCAAGAGGACATGCTGCTGCCGTTGGCCTGGTACAGTTTAATTGAAAATGAATGAGTGAAGAAAATTCTTACATGTTTCGCCTGTGTCCATTGTGTATTTATGTTCTGACTATTCCCCCCCAGGCGAATAGTCAATGACACATATAGGACCGATTTGTGCCTGCTCTACCCTCCCTTCATGATCGCTCTGGGTACAATTTCACTGCCTCATAATGTTGTTAGAGTAGGTTTGTGGACTGTAACCTGATCATTCTTTCCATTTAGCCTGTCTGCATGTAGCCTGTGTGGTGCAGCAGAAAGATGCAAGACAGTGGTTTGCAGAGCTCTCTGTTGATATGGACAAAGTAAGTGTTGCCAGAGAAGATCTTGGTCATTCTTGTGTCTGTATGAACGACTGTATAACCATACAACAATCCACAGATCCTGGAGATTATTCGAGTTATTCTTAAATTGTATGATCAGTGGAAAAACTTTGACGATCGAAAAGATATAGCTGCTGTGCTCAACAAGATGCCAAAGCCTAAGCCTCCTCCCAACAGGTAAAAAGGAGCCATAACAATTACAAATACAACATGTGTCCAAATTCGCTTTGTGACCAAAGGGAATGCACATACTCTGATATTTTGTTATTATAAAAAGACTACTGAACTAATCTATAACTTGATGTTTTGTGTTTTTCCTTCAAAGACAATAACAACAAATATTCTCTCCATTTCTCCAGTGAGAGTGATCAGAATTCAAATGGGAACCAAAGTAATTCTTACAGCCAATCTTAGCCAAGGACTGTCCGTGTTTACATCTGCACTGTGGATGTTTCTTGGGCCAAATCTGTCTTCAACTCATTGTGAGTCTGTAACGCACCGCTCTGCTACGTGCATTAACTGAAACTGGGGAACGCGGGGGACGAGGAAAGTGCCAATCTCAGATGAAAAGGAGGGGCGACCTTTATTGATTTTTAAAAACTTGATCAAACGTACTGTGAGCGAGCGCGTAATCCTCAGGGACTAAGGCAGACGTCTTCACTGGGGTCTGTCAGATACTGTGGACCCGTGTTTACTGTGATGCCATTGGAAGTCTCCTAAGGGAGGGTGGATCATGGATTTACAACTTTTCAATCATGTCCTTCCCCTTTTGCATTTTTGTTGTAAATAGTTTAGCATTGTATTATCTTAATTAAAACATTTGTTGGGAAGCTTAAGCATATTTCTTTATGCACTTAATAAGAAAGTGCTAGTCCTTTTGCTTCAAATTTGTGTTTGGAGCACCGTCATTGACAGGCATTTTTAATTCGAGCAAGGAAATGGGATTTATTTAGAGGGAATTGGAATACAACATGTTCAGCATGTTTTGTTAGGTGTTTTCATTATTTCTGAGACCCATTTGATTATTTATGGCAATACATCTGTCCATGTCCCTCGACTTATTTTTGTGCTGTAAAACTGAGAGCTGTGTGCGAGTGGATGTATTCAAAAACAAGGTGCTTGAAAGCCTTAAATAAAGCTGCTAGTTCCACTAATCCCCTCATTCAAGCACGATCACATCTCTTTTCGGGAGGTAGTGAACAGGATTTTCACATCTTTTCCTGCTGGGTTATGTATGAACTAATTGATTAGATCTATTGTCAAAGGCTAATCACAGTGAAAAGCACAAGTGACCTGTACAGTCTCTGCTTTCCTTGGGCACCATCTGTTGCCCTGATCCTCCTCCTGCGTGGGGGTACAATACAAGGGCTTCACCTCTGATGTGTAATGCATTTCCACTGCGTAATTACTACTTGAACTTGTTAATTATTTGTAAAGTTCATTTATGAAATAAAATGTTTGGTGTGAAGATAAATTGTTTTGTGTTATTGGTTTTAATGATGGAGTTGTAGTCTATTTCAAACCTGTGTACACACATTTGATCAAGTGAGAGACTCTCAAAGACGCTTTATACTTATTTATTCTTTCACTCCATTCACAATGGTGATAAGCTACTACTATAGCCACAGCTGCCCTGCGGCACACTGATAGAAGTGAGGCAAACCATTATGTATAATGTATTGGTTTTATGTAGTGCTTTTTTGGATACTCAAAGATGCTTTACATGTCATTATCGTTTCACTCCATACACGGTGGTGATAAACTACTACTGTAGCCACAGCTGCCCTGGGGCACACTGACAGAAACAAGGCAACCAGTATGTGCCCCCTGATCACCACCAACCATTCACATACACACCACACTCATTCTAGGCAATGTGGGTGAAATGTCTTTCCTGAGGACACAACGGCAGTTTGGCATCAGGTAATCCCAGAGGTTAAGTGTCTTGCCAAGGCCACAACGACAGCAGACAGTCTTGTAGTGGGCTAACCCACGACCTTCTGGCTCAAAGGCCAATGTTCTACCAACTGAGCTGACGTTTATTATATGCAAAGATAATTGTGTTTTTAGTTTTGACAAATGTTCGTTATAAAAATGTTGTTTAGGTTACATTGTGGTCGTGACGTCACAGTCACCTTCTTCTCATAACACCCATGGTACACGGTTATAACAGACAAACAGTAAAGTTACAAAACTCCTGAATGCACAGTCTTTCAAAATAAAACAACTGCTATATATATTGGGAACCATACAGTATGTGAGTGGAGCCAATAGTGTTCATGTTTGTGTACGGAGACGAACTGAATTACACAAGAGAGATATTCACTAAAAATTGTACTAAACTTCTCATTGGAGGAAACATCACTGGTCACTGGTCCTTCCATTGTGGCACAAAGGACAAACAGTGTTTGAGCGTGTAGTGAGCATGTTATTATTTTATCCAAGATTTGAAGCCATTGTATTTGATGAAACTGACTTATAGGACCAGCCTTGTGTGTACATCTAAAAATGCAGAGCATGACGCGGAGGATGAGTTTCCAACTTAGTCAAATGTTGCTATTGTCCTCCATCATGTGAAAAGTCAAAAGACAAACATTTGATGAAACACATGAATGTTCCAGAGCTTTATTGTCTTACACCGGAAGCGCCCCTCCCTCCTCCGTGCCCAGTATCAGAGGAGAGCTCGGAGCTCTGTGCCCGTGATGAGGACCCCGCTGCGGGGACAGGCTCGGCCGGCCGGGATGCTGCTCCCCCTCTGTCCCCTCTGTCTGACTCCCACTTTGGACTGATGAAGCCCCCCGTCGCGGACACAGGCCCGGGCTGCGGCACAGAGGCGCTCAGAGGCCGGACGCAGCGCGGAGCATGTACTGGCGTGTGGGCTTCGCCTGTACCCGCGCGTTTGTGCTTGATTTGGGAGAGAACCAGGGCTTTTCCTCCATCACCGGCCTTCTGCTGAGCGCTGCGTCCGACGAGCACCTCTCATTACTGGGCTATGTGATCGCCTCTCCCCTGCAGGACCACGGAGGCGTCATGGCACTGGGCTCGGACTCTTGGTGGAGAAAGACTTTATATTTGACCGGAGGGGCCCTGCTCGCTGCGGCCGCTTATCTACTGCATGAACTGCTGACCATCAGGTACAGACATGACTGTATGTGGTACAGACAGGGCATCAGGGCCGCTGATGGGCTCAGTGCACCATAACAGACCTTGTGTGTGTCTGCCCACTCCCTGCTGCTTGTTGTTTTCACATTGGGGTGATTCTGATGTTACTCAACCTGAGGGGAGCGGGCGGGGTGGGAGCAAGGACTGAGTCGTGAGTGGGTGGTTTATGATGTAACATAGCCCCTTACCACAATCCCCTCACCCTCAAATATACACCACTTAATTTTAGTCCCATAACTGTTATTTTGAACACCTAATATGCTCTTTTAAAGTATCATAAGTGCAATAACCCCACGCTGTCCAAGAGCTCTCCACATTAAAAGGCTTCACTATCCAACATTGATCCATATGGCTTCTGACAGAGGGTCAAACAAGTCAAGGACAGTGCAGAATCACAATCCTTGTATCACACCACTGCAGTTCTAATCAGCAATAAAAACATGTTTTGTAAATTCATACAGTCAGACACAAATGCAGGTTGAACCCCTGGTCAGAAGGCCTGTTACGGTCAGGCTTTATGTGTGCAGAGCGGCTACATAGGCTGATTTTGTAAATAGTCTAAGTAGTTAAGTCATAAGGCTGTTATCTAGCTTTCCCTTAGGATAAGGACCTTCTTTTAGTGCTTTTTGTGTGTAACTGACAGGGTTTACTGCATCAAAAACAGGCTTTGAGCTGCAGCACTACAGTGTAATGGATATTTCCCTGAGGCTGAGGCTGTTTGTTCGTTTCAGCACTTCCCACAGTGGACAGCTCCCATTGCTCCATCACGTGAGCTCTAGTTCAGGCTCATTTGTCTCTTATCTTGCATTTTATTTTCACAACAGCAGCCCTGACTACCCGTGCGTGTAGAATGGTCTCTCTAGGAGCCTGTTATTGTGACGTGGCAGTTTTTTTTTTTTTCCATAGAACTAAAAATACTCAAGGCTCAAAAGCAATCAGGCCAAGGATATCTCTGTTTTACATTGACTGATGCCTTCCCAGCTCTCACACGGCGGATCACATTGAAATGAAGAGCTCAGCGCACCTCTAAGCTTCTGGGACCTTTGCGTTACATGACAGAGGGTAACTGGGATACTTGCATAAAACATATCAAATATGAATGACGGGATATATACATAACAGCAACCCAGTCTTATCTAAGGTCGGATTTATGTTGGTCATATTTCAAAGTGCTCATCTTTTTCTGTATAAGTAACTTAAAAGTTACTCATTATCTTTAATCCTTGTTATATTGTATTCACATTTCATCCACTTTATTTCAAGTGCCTTTTTGTTTTTTATATATATTTTTTAAAATGCCCAATTTTGTCTTACTTGCCTGTTTTTGTTTGGTTTTTAAGTCTCCTATCTAGGGTCAACAGATGGAAGAAGTTTGCTAGTTTATTTATTATTCACTCTATTTGTAGCCAACAGCATATTGGAAAGCTGTGTGACAATCAAAGTGCCCTGAGGACAACAATTAATAATATAGACTGGGGATTAAAGATACATATTTTAAACCTAACAGTACATTTGAGGACAAGTTAATACATTTCATTATGTCTGTATATATCCAAAAAGTCTAAAGGACAAGAAAAGAGAGATTTTAGAAAGCCATGTAAAGAAGAAGGGCCCAAATTATGTTCAGTTATGCATAATTGTTCAGACTTTTTAAAAATGCATCCATGTTCAGGGAACACGGCTGTATTCCATGTTTCAGATTCTTTATGGGCAAAAACTCAATATTGCTGCATATTATTCATGCTTCTCAAATAAAAAAAAATTTTCTCCATTTTTTTGATTATTTTGATTATATTGCATTATATTATATATAATTCATGTCGATATGTGTGTGTGCTGCTTCATATGAATGGTTTGCCTTATACAATTGCAGTCCAAAAATATAATTCTAATCTAATTTATATTGGTCTTCCAACAAATGAGTAAATTTACATAATCAATATTTTCAACCTTAGATTCAGATCATTGTTTACTCGAGTACTTCATGCAGCTGGTCAATTTCTTACATTGCCCCCTCTGATAACTAAGTTTGGTTTGTATTTTCAGCTGCTTCATGTGTTTCTCACTTTGCTACTGCCCTTTCTCCACCCAGGAAAGAGGAAGAGCTGGACTCTAAGGACGCCATTATTCTCCATCAGTTCTCCAGGCCCAAATCTGGAGCCCCGTCCCTGTCCCCTTTCTGCCTTAAGATGGAGACCTACCTCCGAATGGTGGATCTACCCTACAAAGTATGTGGCCATGTATTTTTTCAGTATAGAGTTGGCAATACTTAATATCAATTTATCTTGTGCGGTGTGCTCCTCATTCCTACTGTTCTGTAACCTTTGATGCAACACTGACATCTCCCCACTGTGTGTTGATTAAAGGATTTCTAAATCTTTAAAGAAATACACGTTCAAGAGGCTCCATTGATAATGGAAGTAGCTTTATCTGATCTTAATTTTTTAGATCTAAGTTGGGTTGTTCTTTGTTAGTTGGATGGATGATCTGTGGGGCTAAGTGGCTGCTCTGTGCTCCTCCTTCAAGTGTCCTAATACAAATACGTTAATTACCTGTTCTTACGACAGTAAATGACACATACTGATATTTTAAGTTATATAGGTACATTAATCATTGTTTAATGTGGAACGTGAGACTAAACTGTAAGTCCCTTCATAACCTGACCCCCTCATATCTCACCGACCTCCTCCACCTCAGATCTGCCGACTCCAACCTCCTCACTCTCATCAGATCAAAGTGCTGAACCTTGGGGAACTCACTCCCACAACACTTCAGGAACACAGACTCACTTCAGAACTTCAAATCACTGCTAAAAAAACCCCACCTTTTGCCCACACTAAACTGTTTATTTTTAGCTTTTTATTTTGTTTCTTGTTCTTTTGTAAAGCATATTCGAGTGTCCAAAATAGCTCTATATAAGTACAATGTAGTATTAGTACTATCATTACTATTATTATTATGTCTAATGTTCACCAATCCAAATTCAAATCTGACATTGAGCTCTTTCAAATGTGATGTTGTGTTTTACAGAATTACTTTGATGGGAAGCTCTCACCACAAGGAAAGATGCCGTGGATCGAGTACAACAGGCAGCAGGTGTTTGGCACAGAGTTCATCATTGATTTCCTGGAGGAGCAGTTGGGTGTGAATCTGAACAAGAGCCTGACTCCACAGGAGGTGGCTGTGTCCAGAGCTATCACCAAAATGGTTGAGGAACACTTCTACTGGTAAGAAGGAACTTCCTATAGCAGGGTGGAAACCACCTGCAGCTCTTTGCCTCCCATCAGGTTTGATGGGATTTTTTTTTTTTTTTTTTTTTTACAAAATTCATATAAAATAAACAATACTTTCCTGGGGGGACCCCAGACCCCTGTTACTTGCACATTCCTGTTATTAGTATTTCTCCTTTTTTGTCACAGTCAAATCCAAAAGAGGTGTTTGGTCGTTGGAGCCTAAGCTGCAGTGGCCTTTCATGTGTCAGCTCTCAGAGGGACGGCTGAGTGACATCCCTGACCTTTAGGAAGAAACAGATTTTAATGAGTTTTATAAATTATTGTGTAGCTTTACCTCATACATTAGTGTAGATTAGCACAGTACATACTCAACAAACACAGGGCAAATCAAGGTACTGTACAAAACAAGAAAGAAAACATTAAAATCGCAGATTCTATCTGCAATTCATGTTTAATGCCTCGTTGGTCCTCCTGAACCCTGACCCACAGATACATTCTCTTTATTCTGACATGTGGCTGAAACTGGTGCATGAACCACAGGTAATGTCCTGGCTCTGCACGGACGCTCCATATGTCCAGTAGTTTTAGAGCACGGTTCCCCAAAGTGACCCCACATAACAGAATAATAATTAGTCAAAACATGCATTTGTCATTTTTAGATTTTTATTATAATAGTTTAGTGTTTTTAACATAATTTCAAGTTATTAATATAATTGTGTTTTTGCGTCAAATAAGTAAGTAATGTTTATTTGATGATAATGCAAAGGATAATGCAAAGGAAGGTTCTCACCCATCATCTGTACTTCTTAGCAGGTTTTCCCGACGTTTCGTTTTGTCCTCAATCCAAAGGACTTCTTCAGGGAAAAGTCCTTTGGATTGAGGACGAAATATAGTGTATATTGGTTTAAGTTCCATTTCCATGTATGTATTGTCCAGCCAGTTGAGAAATATTATAAGCCTTAACCTATAATTAAGGTATTTCTTTGGATTGTGTTTTGTCTCTGCTTATGGCTGTGGTCTTTTGCAATTAGCACTGGATTGAATTAATAAATACATTTTAGTGAACACAAAAAGTTTTTAGAGTTAGATTACAACAACAAAACCTTTCTGTCATTATCAGCTCTAACGGTAATCACAGAATAATAACAGAACAGCGACCACTGCAGTAGTTTATGAGGGGCTGGAGGTAATAATCATAAGTATCGTATTAAGTGTGAGAATTATAATGCAAAATGCTGTAACCATGTGTTCCAGGACCATAGCGTACTGTCAGTGGGTGGACAACCTGGAGCAGACCCAGAAGCTTCTGTCTGTGAGCGGGCTACTGGGTGGGCCACTGAGCGACGTGCTCAAGTGGATCCTGAGTCACATGACCGGAGACATTCTGAAGAGAGAGATGTACGGACACGGCATCGGACGCTTCTCTAAAGAGGAGATGTACTCGCTAATGGAGAAGGACATGCGCACGCTCGCCACGCTCCTTGGTTAGAGGCCGACCATTCCCTTTTTGAACCCTGTGTTATTTGTTTATGTGGATGTACTGTATGTGAATATTTGTTGTGCAGGTTGGACAAAATATAAAAGATAAGATAAGAAATCCTTTATTCGTCCCTCAGTGGGGAAATTTCAATGTTGCAGTGCACATACAGGACAGCAGTAAGAGGACACAGGGAGCACACAAAATATACAAAATAAGTAGTAGCTATTTCTAAAAAAAAAAACAAAAGGTAAGGAGTGCTGTGTGGTACAAGCGTGTAAAATTATTTCAAAGACCAGGTGCTCAATTGGAAGAGGGGTTTAACTTAGTGACAAAAAGTCGAGTGTTGACTTTCCAGGTGAAGGCAAATCGTAAAAATCCAAGGCACTCGTTCAGAGAGGTAAAAAGCCTTTATTTTCTCATGGCTGTAATTTAAAGTACGTACCGCTTTTAGGCCTAGCTTGGCCTTCTTCAGGATGTGAATCTTCATCATTAGCCTTTACCAGGAAAGTCAACACTCGAACTTGAAATGCTTCAATACCAGTCTTTCAAAAAGAATTTTTATATATATATATATATATATATATATATATATATATATATATATTAGTGTAGTAGTGCAGAGTTATATACTGTACATAAAGGGCAGAATAATAGTAGATAAAGTAAAGTGACATTGTTCAGTGGACATTATGAAGTTGCAGTGTTGCACATTGCACATGATTGCAGTATTTATCTTATTGACTGATAAATGACATTTACAGGCTCAGTAGTTATCATTGTACAGTCTAACAGCAGCAAGAAGGAAAGAACTGCGGAAACCTCTCCTTCACACAGAGAGGGTGAATTATGAGTAACAATCCATAGGTAGAAATATTGGTAACTTGGCAATGCATGTAAATACAGAAACATTTCCATCAATCAATTAACTTTTATTTCAACAATTTAAAAACGCACTGTAAAAACACATACAAATGACACTTGAAAAAAATCATTCAATAATAAAATGATGATCCGCTGCCTGATGATCATCCGTCACAGGCATGGCTCAAAAGAACTGTTTTAGCCTTGACTTGAACACAGTCAGGGTAGGGGCCTGCCTCACACCTTCAGGAAGACTGTTCCAGATTTTAGGTGCATAAGTCTGGAATGCTGCCTCCCCTGTTCCTCATTACCTGAGATTGTCCTCATAGACTGTAAATGACTATTGTGTATTTAGCAATAGTCAGCTGTTTGCTACAGACCCCTTGTGGTGGTTTTGAGGATTACACCCGATGCACTGCAACAATATTGGATTTAAGAATAACAAGAATTATTCAATCAAAATTAGCTTATTTACGCTATTACTCAGATTCCAGGATTATCAATTGGAGAGTCAACATTGTGTTTTCCTGGTGCATCAAATCAATGACAAATATACAGTATGTGTCTTACAGTATATATGTATTTTTGTAGGTAACAAAAAGTACCTTATGGGATCCAAAATAACAACAGTGGACGTAACAGTGTTCAGTCACCTTGCTCCAGCCATGTGGACGCTCCCAGGGTCCAGACCAGAGCGACTCATCAAAGGTCAGAGGTCGCTCATTTCATGCATTCACAAATAGGCCCCAGAGTTATTAAGATATTTAAAATTGTCACGTATGGGGGAGCCAATAAAGGGCATTCTATCTGGTCTCTTCAATCTCTTCTAATCCAATTGAAATAATTATTAATTTATTATTATATTCAAAAACATGAAGTTGATGAGGTCTGCATTTTACATCACAGCAATTTTAGGCTATTTCTGCCAATATCTCAAACAAGCTCACTTTTCAATCTCACTAAGAAGAGAATTTTCTATATAATTGGCCACAAATACACTCATCAAGCTAATTTGAGCCAATTTCAACTCAATAACTTTAATAAATATGTGCTGTACTTTTTTTCTAGCTCAAAATATATTGTATAGTTATAGTGAGTAAGTAAGTAATCTTTATTCATAGCCTTTCACAGACCAGAGACACAAAGCGCTTTACAATTATAAACTATAAAGTTACATTTACATAGTTTATAAAGTTATAAACTATGTAAATCCTACATGAATCCACATTTTTGCATTAAGAGCTGTCTTTGTTTTATAGAAGAGTAAACAGAGATTTCAGTCGTATTGTAAAATTGTTCCCTCATCAAAAACAGACCTGGGGTTGTTTTTAGATCTTTCCACGCTAATATCAGGATGATTATAATTATAGAATGTAATTGTCACCCATTACATCACGCCCAGAGCAGTATTCTGAATTTTGAGCACCTCCCTCTGGTGGAAGCATGAGGAGTTACACATGGATAGCATTTTTTTACCCTTGATACTATATTTCACTCTATATTTTTTACTTTTAAATTTCATATTCGAAATCATGAGATAACAAAGTAAAATTAATTCGTCTTTAAATGATCTTTTCTTTGTGCAGGCGAGTTCATCAACCTCGCCATGTACTGTGATCGTATCCGACGGAGATACTGGCCCGAATGGTTTGTGGACCTAGAGGACTTCTACTACTCGGACACCTCAGAATGCAGTGATTCCCCTTCCAAACTCCCCGACCTGGGCTTGTACTCACGCTCCTTCTCCCCCACGCCCTCCACGCCCCTCCCCCCCGCCTCCCCCTACAGCTCTCCTCACATTATTGGACACACCCTCTTGCCTAAGGACATTGAGTCTCCGGACAGCGATCCCACGGGACACTCTCTGTACGACTCGGACATGGACACTGAGTGCTCTGAAATGGACCAGTCCAGATGTTGACGAAGCAGAAGAAGAACAAAACGTAGCGACACACAAAAGCACCTCTGAAGTCTGCTGAGATCGTGGCTCTCTCCAGCGCCACCTAGTGCATGACTGGAGCGTGTTCGGGGCAGCAGGTGAATGGAGAGATGTTAGAGCAGACTGCAGTGGAGGATCAAGGCTTAGAACAGTCTCTCAAGAAAATCAGGAGTCAATGATGCCACTGCTGAGTAACTCCTCCACAACACCATCTGCAGTCACCTTTTTAACTTTAACTTTCGGCAACTAATGTTGCTGTAACCATAGCAACTCCACGTGACCCTGTGAGCCCTATGCCGTCCAGCCTGTGTGTGTTCATGAACCCTAGTCGCCTTGACACATAGACCACTGTACAGAACAAATTCTATGTACATTTGAGACATATGAATCTTAGATAGAGATAGAGATATACAAAGTATATGAAATATAAATAGTATCGATAGCTTGCTAATAAAAGTCTCACATCAGTGTAAATACAGTCATTGTTGTGCTAGAGTTTGTCTTTTCTTGTGGACACAAGAGTTCAAATGATCGGCTCATTTACAAACTGTCTGATTGTGATGTGTACAAACGCCTTTATTTAATCAAGTGCATACAGTTCAGCGTTTCACTAGCACTTTGAACATTTATTTGCCAAACCAAATTACCTTAACTTCTCTTAATGTTTATTTTGAATCATTGACAATCCCATCTTTTCAACGACACTGGCATCATATGCAATGTGTGTTTGTCTTCAGCAAAATGCATCCAACTTTTAAGCGAATGAAACAATCATGTAGTATTGTGAAAAGAATGTGCTGGTTCGTGCTGATGAAAGCCCTGGATACTTTTTCATTTATCACAGTTTGGACCAACAGCCCTCATTTAAAAATGCATTTATTCATCTGAGACAGTGTACGTTAAGCTCTATTTTCTGTTGCTGGCAACAGGAGGTTTCTTGAAGAGAACACAGCAATAAGGTTTCATTTGTCATTGGATGTTTATGTTGTGTTAATGGTGCAAACGTGGTGTGTGTTTGTCGTTCAACAAATGCACATCCATCTGCTATTGCACGTTTAGTCCTGAGTCTGTTTATGAAAGTGAAGCACACTCATTTGACCAACTCTTGTGTTCCAAAAATCAAATAGCTGCATTTCCTAGTGCAAAATAAATAGGTCAAATCACTTCTTAGAAGCACTATGCAGGACAGTGGACACTAATATTAAAAATTGACCAAAGGGTTTGTTTGTTGGGTCCATCATGAGTTATGTGCGAATAACCCAAACAAACAGTGCTTGTGACTGCATGACTGTTGTTGATGTCACCGAGTCTTTATCTGTTCTTTTTTCATCATTTGTCAAGTTTACTTTACAACAGTGCCAGTATATTTGTTACCTTATTTATTTCTATCGTCTATTTAAGGCCTTATTTATTGATTTACTTACTTATTATGTACTGTAGCCAGTGCCATGATGAATTACTTTGCACTAGTTGTGGTTTGCTCTTTGGCCGGTATTTGTGTGCAGTGCAATAATAGACTTCCTTCAAGTACATCGCATACATGTGTAAATACGAACCATGTCCAGTCTCATGCATGTTGTCCAGTGTGATGCCCACAAACATTTGTCGTCAGCATCTCCAAAAAAACCCTATCCCATCCATATCACACACAGCCACACATAATCATAAGAAAAAAGTCTAATTAACTTCCATTAGCAAAACCTTTTCTCGTCGCTAAACCTTCGCTACGCAGCTGCTAAACATCATTGTACATACGGTAGAAGCCATACACATTGTCTATTGTTGTCCGTGATGGAATATTAGTGTGTTCTACTCTGTGTGTACATAAGAGAGACAAAAAATAACCATGTGATGTAAAAACTCTTAAGATGTTCTGAATGTACCGTGTCCTATGAGCTGCGTGACAATGGATTATCCTCGGATATCATTAAATATAGCTGTGATATTTTCTTGGATTTGTTTTTTAAAATCAGGAGTCCACGTATTTTTCATTTATGATAAAAACAACTTTATTTTAGTACAGCCTCATCCAAATGCCTTTTTCCCCCCCGAGTTATTTATTTAGTTCAAAGTGAAAGTCAGTTGCTATTCAAATAGATAGACCATTTTTGAATGCAGTCAGCCCCGCCCCCACAGCTTCCTGATTTGATGAAATTCATTCAAATCCTTGATAGACAACTGAGGCCCCTCATCATTACTATTATTCTACTGCAAATATTACAGATGGTGGTTCTGCCAAGGGAAGGGACTGGTTTTAATGTATTTAGATGATGTTTAGATGATACTACAGGGGGATATTGTCAAATAATATGTATTCTTATAACAATGAAACACAATTGAACACTTTTTGTGGGACGCTACTTCCTCGTATCGTGTAGTGACATTTTCAGTTTTGGGGAGTAACTGAATTCATGTGTCAAGCTGGGGTACCTAACCTTTTTATTACCTAACTGAGGTACCTAACTTGTTTGTTTCCTAACTGAGGTACCTAACCTTTTTGTTACCTGAGGTACCTACTGTAACTTGTTTGTTTCCTAACTGGGGTACCTAACTTTTTTGAACAAAGCAGAACACGACAGGCTGTCTTCATCTTATTAGAAAACATGTAATCTGGTCCTCTCTTCCACTTGTGATAGAACCAAACTGTTTTGAAAAACAAAGAACTAGGGATTTGTTCATTTTGGTTTAGAAGTTAGATAACCCAACTTTAAGGAATACATCATATTATTTACGCATGTAATTTTGACAGAAGATTACAAAAAAATTGATGAAAACTTGAAATGCTTGTGGGTTAGTTTTACTCCTCTAATTGAATATTCAACCCTATGACAACATTTTTTTTTTTTCTTACAAATACTACTATATGCATATATTATACATTATACTACTGTACAAAAGATCCTGAAAGCATTCAAAGTGAAAATAATGCAGAATTCTAATTGGACCAGGTAATAGAAAACATTCCAAAATATTCTCCCCAATCCGTAATATTATTTTTAAGACAAGCCCTTTATGAAAGGAGTGGCTGAACATATGTCTCTTGTAAATACTGTAGCATCAGCGGTTTCCGTAGAGACTGCGGCAGACCCTCCAATAAACAAATATCAAGCTTTAAATTGAACCTTTGCATGTGGAGTCATGTTCAGAGGAAAATGGTGCTTTCTTAAATACAACCAATGTTTCTTTAACACAGGTTACATGGCCCTGGCTCATATCTCCCGTCCCTCTGTGCTGGCTCTATGACAATACTGAGAGCCAGGATTAGCTCTGTGGCCTTTTCTACACGTGTCAAAGACAGAGCCCAAGAGCCTGAGAGAGCTGAGACAAGAGGAAGTCCAAATCAGACACAAATATACCCAAGAAAATACATATGTCATGCATATTGATCTGCTGGGGGTATTATACATTTTGTTTATGTTGTTTGTCCCAACAGTGTCTAACTTGTCTAAGAAACATGTCATATTTTTACATGGTGAGAGCGAATTGGCTGAGTGAGGGGTCGTACTCCATATTTCCCTGAACAATCTGATCTAAAATTTGTGACAGAGGCAAAAAATGCAAGATTATTTTCTATTTGAGGTCAATATGTGTCTAATTACTTATTTCCCCACTGTGGGACGAATAAAGGATCTCTTATCTTATCTTACCTAAAGGAGGTGTTTATATTTTTCATTTTCTTTTTATTATATGTAAGAAAAATAAACGTAATCAAAAGCAAACGGTTGGTTACGTCATTAGATGGTGATGAAAGTACTGTTTCTTATCCACCAGATGGCGCCAGTGGACTGGTGCAGATTTGGCCTAAAACAAACGTGGTGAGGCGAGAAATGTATCCATGAGCTTCAGTGAAAGGATAAAGAACCACAAACTTTAAATATTACAAAATAAAGGGAAAAACAAGCTACACATTTAGGGCCTGTTTGATTAATCAATACGTTGTTTAAAAAATAAAAATAAACAAATGAAATGAAAAGGGTTGCTTGCATATTTTTCCTCTACAAACTTTGCTTGCATCTACCTTAAAATGATAAAATAGATAATCATTGAATATGTACATAGATAAGTGTTACATATAAAGCGTCACTGTTTCTACAGCCGTTTAGACATGAGCTGTTCCACTTCAAACCAAATAACGAAAATAAATTAATGTGCAAGGACTGCAGTTGTATATACAAATACAATTTAATGACAAAAAGCATTTAGAAATTGTGCAATCGCAATTTTCCTTTTTTCTTGATGAAGTCACAGATATCAGGTCAACCATTTTTCCGTTTGGTTTGTTTCAACCCATTAAGTTCCACTGATGGTGAGAAGACCGTTGCAATGGCAGAAATATTCGATTTTTGCATTAAATTAAAGCCAATTTGTAACAGGCCTGTATTAAAATAAAATGAAGCAATTACACAATGTGCGTAATAAGTTTTGCGCATTTTGGCGAGCTGTTGTCTTTTGGTCAAATACATTCAGACAGGCCTCTATTCAGTCCAGTGTTCTCAATTGTGTTTAACTTTTTGCATGATTGCAGAATCTGCCAGGACCTCCACCATCAGTTCAGCCTCCGTCACAGCATCAATAAGGGCACAACAACATGTTGTGCTTTGGCACAAACTCACAGAGAAAGAACACACGAACGAACAAACAAGGCCATACCAAACGAATGTAAATACATCCCACAAACAGTGTTCTTTAGACACAGTAAAAGCAGGAGAGCAGCCTGTGGCCAGAGCTGGTGCAGGTGGAATTACTGATATCATTATTGTTATAGCAAAGGAAGGCAAGATGAGCTGGAGTTTGTCTCCAGCAATACAGTCTCAGGTCTCACAGCTTTAGGATCAAAACAACACAGTGTAAACAGGCCGAGACGTCTGCACACATTATTATTATTATGCCTATTATTATTATTATTATCATCACTACTACTACTGCTACGTTTTTTCATGATGGTATTACTATTATTATTATTATCATTATTATTATTATCATTATATTATTTATTATTATTATTATTTCTAACTTTTTAGTATGATATTTATTAAGGATTATTATAGCTGTCAAGTTTTGAAGTATGGGCAATCATATCATGTTTATCATAATAACATGATGGTACTATAATTAGGCCAAATAATAATAGTAATAAATAATATAATAAATAATAATAATAATAATAATAATAATAACAATGAAGTCCTGGTTTCTTCTCCAGAGCCTGCACTGCAGACCCCTGTTGCTTTGTTTGTTTGTTTGATGAAATAATGACATGATGAGATGATGAAGATGGCGTGGCTACACCATAAACTCAATGCACTACCAGGTGCACAGTCCTCTGAATTAGGCTATACACAGTGGCAGAGACAATTTTTCAAACAATGCATTCGAAGCCTGTTTCGCTTCCTCTCCAGCCCCAGCGGCTCCTGCACGAGCCCCACGCCGCGGCTCTGCGTCAGTGCCGCGCGGTTACAGTTCGGTCCAGGCCCCGGGGGCCATCAGACGCGGAGAATAGAGACACATTGTGTCCACAGCGGTCACTGCACAGGAGTCTGTCCTCCGTGATGAGGGGGAGTGTCCCCATACATGTCCTCTGTCCCCGGGAGAGGGCCCCCTGCGGGGGTCATCCTCTTCTCTTTCTGTCTCCGGTTACAGAACCAGACTCTAACCACCTCTTTCTCAAGCTGCAGGCTGTCCGCCAGGGAGTTGATCTCCGCGGCCCCGGGCTTCGGACACTTGAGGAAGTGGCTCTCCAGTGCGCCTTTGACCCCTACCTCGATAGAGGTGCGCTTCTTTCTTTTGCGTCCCTGCGCTGCGATCTTGTCCAAGCTCGTTGGGCTGCCCGAAGTGGAGTCCGCCTCCTCGAGCCACTTGTTCAGCAGCGGTTTGAGCTTACACATGTTTTTGAAGCTGAGCTGCAGAGCCTCAAACCTGCAGATAGTGGTCTGGGAAAATACATTTCCATAAAGCGTGCCTAGTGCCAGGCCTACGTCCGCCTGTGTGAACCCCAGCTTGATGCGCCTCTGCTTGAACTGCTTGGCGAACTGTTCCAGCTCATCCGAGGTCGGCGTGTCCTCGTCAGACTGGTCCTGGCCCGTGTGCTGGTGCGAGTGCGGGCCGTGCTCACTCAGGTGCGGGCTGTGGCTGTGTTGATCATCGTCCCGAAGCGCGTGGTGCATGGATCCCTGCTCACCCGCGGGTACGAGGCTGAAGCCGGACTGCGCGTACACCAGACTCTGCTCAGAGGTCGCCATGGTGGCTATATGCGTGGAGCCGCTGCGCCATGGCCTGGCATCATGATGTGCGTGCTGCTGCTGCTGCTGCTGCTGCTGCTGCTGCAAACTGTTGGGGGTCTGCAGCTCCTCGCGTTCCCCTTCGTGCAGAACGGGCTTCACGTCCTGATCAGACAGAGGGCTGTGTGGCCACGGCGTCCCACTGTCCGCATGCAGCGCAGTGAGCCACTGGTGCGCGTGTCCCGGTAACGTGCCGTATTCGTTGTGGAGCAAACTGTGCGCGTCCCTGTACGCGGACGCCTGCTGTAGACCCCCGGATTCAGAGTGCGGCGGTGGCGCGCTACCGGGGCTCAGAACGCCGTAGTGGTTGGACGTGGCAGTCGCCATCACGGATTGGGACCAAACTGGACTGTGGTATTGGCCCAAATGCAGCTGGACTTAAAGGAGGAACTGTGTGCGCGCCACGGGGCAGCCTCACGTCTCTCTCAGCATCTCCGGGCGCAGTGCCAAGGGACGCAGAGGCGCGCACCTGTGGTCCGCCTCGCGCCGCTCTTTATTGGCCAAGAACGCTTGACAGATGTGGTTACCCCTGACAGCACCCCGCTCATTGGTCACGGGAGATTGTACTGAACCCCAATCACTCTCCCAACACGAGCACAGCAACACGAGAGCTCCAGGACCAAATAAACCCTTTACTCCAAACTATGGGTCCCGCGGTCTGGGTGCGTATAGTGCCTCCGTGCGTCCAGCTGCTGCATAAAGATGCGCACACCTCAAAGTGACCAGACAAAGCTCGCGAGCCCCCGGAGGTAGTGCTCTCTAAACTTTCATCCAGTCACATGATCAGGCTCAGCCTCCAGCTGCTCGCGTGCTCCAGCGCCCTGCCCCGTTGCTATGGCGAATTTTCAATGGGACTACACCACCCACGTGACAGCTGCAAGGAGTTTGTGGAGATGGTGCACATTGGCTCTGGGAGACACACTGGAGTTACAAATGATCTGTGTGCACCTGCTCACATTCCTCATAAACTCATGAATATCTTTCAAACACAACCACATTTAGCCCCTGTTACTTTGGCAAATGCATAGAGTTTGTTTGAGGTGTTCAATGGGTCTGGTGGAACACATGCACAAACACAAAGAACAAAAGCTTTTCTTGCCATAACACAGCACTATAACTGTGACACACATGGGCATTCTCCATCTTGTGTTAATTGGATAAGAGTGATACCTATTAGACTCCTGACATGGTTACGTTGTGAGTGATGGGTTAATCAATAAACAGTTTGATAAGGTGCAAATGTGGACATAATGTGACATGGTAAATTATGGAGATGGAAAGTACATGGATGTATGATTGGGGTGTAATTCTGAGAATTACCAAATCTGTCGCCAGGGGCTCTGGCAAGTCGTGTGTTAAGACAGGCACAACATATTACCCTAATAGACTAATATGCAAACTATGGGCCGTCCAATTACAGGACTTAATAAGTCATAAATGATGTGGGTCCTGTTCTTACAAGACAAAGTGCTCAGTGTTAATTCAGACAGAGCTGTGTTCACTGTAAATATCGGCAGTGCCCAGTCTGCACTTTCTTCTGTATTCAACACAGAGACTTAATGATGGAGAATGTAGGTCTTAAATTAGAGTAATTATATGGCCCCGGTGCTGTAAAGATTCAATTTCTTGGCAAGTCTAACAGGCTTAAGTATCCCTGTGTGCGGCTCTCACTCAGATCATATATTTGTGATGGAAACAAAGGAACAAAACCATGTTCTGTGTTTGACATGTTTTATTTTCCCAGTCTATAGTGGGTATATTTACGTCTGAATGAATACATCCATAAATGTAGACATGTTTCTTTTTTGTGTGTCTTGTAAACACGCTTCATTCATTTCAATAGGAGATAACAATTCAAGGGGTCGGTGAAACCTTTTATGAGTCTCTATTTTTAGTTCACTTTCACTTTTTATGTGGACCCACATGTTAGCAGTCCCCTGTCCCTCCCCCTGTGGGAACCTTCCACTCCTTAGGCCAAACTGGGGTAGGGGGGGATCCTTTATACTGCTGGACACACCAAGATAATGGCCATTCCTCCACAACTGGCCGCACAATCAAAAGCAAAGAGGACTCAGAGGATTCCAGCTTTAACCGAGCCATTGTCCAGGCTAATTACATCTGAATGCGAGACTCACAGACCCCCACTATCCCTCGCCATAAGAGCCAAACCTGCACAGAGCATGGCCCTAACAACCCTTCAGAGAGCAGCTTCAACACAGTCAAATATGTAGTCCACTCGTTCTTTAGGTGTAAGTGTTCACCAGGCACACACACTATTAGATCAGATCTGAACTGGCGGCACTCTGAAGTGATGAAGAGGACTTAGGAGGTGAATAGAAAAACACCATAAGAGCCTTTCTCCCAATGTACTTGCATAATGCCAATCTATAGCCTCCTTCTGCTCCTCCGCTGCCATCTGCTGCAAACAAAGATAAAGATGACAATTTCAAACATCAGATGCAATTTAAAAAGGGCTGAGGGTAGCGTTTTCAAGTTGGGTTCCACAAATTTTTACTGATATGTGCCGAAAAGTTTCAGAGAGCAATCAACATTATGAGTAGTTGGACAGTTGTGCATTTGTGAGACTATTTCACACGCCAACAGAGAAAGAAAAAACCATTACATTAAAGCTGGAATGTATAACTTTTCAAACTTAAAAATTGATGCAATTCCAACGTTATTATATTTCCTTGGTCTCAAAATGGTTTGGTTCCATTACTGGGTTTCACATTACAGTACTTTTATTCACTGAAGAAGTCCAAAGAGTCCCAGCTAATGTCCTCAGACATTAGCTCTCTGTAGCTAAACGACAAAGGGGGAAATACTTTAGCTACTGTAATTTTCAAATCTTGTAACACAAAAATGAACAAAAAATAAACTTATCCTAATCCTTCCGTCTTCAAAACTGCCCGGCAGTTCAATTAACCAGTGGTTCCTCACATTTTTTGCCTTGTGAACATTTTGCCCCAGTGTACATAAGACTCAAGCACCCTATAAAGTATCTGTTATAAAGAAGGAAAAAACATACCCCAGTGGTTTTAAACTTATTTAGGCTTCAACGCTTTACATTTCTACCAAAGTCAACATTGTTTTCTATGTTTAAAGTTTGTATAACTCATCTTTTGTATTTGCTTTATAATTTTTTTGGTCAAATTAGTGCTTTTTTAACTTGACTTGTTTAATACAATTCTTGGACTGATCCATTATGTGGTTGGATTCTTGACAAGAAAAAATAAAAAAATAATAAAATACTATACCATAGCAGCCCATATTAACTTTTACAAGTTTTCAAGGCAAGGCAAGGCAAGTTTATTTGTATAGCACAATTCATACACAAGGCAACTAAAAGTGCTGAACAAAATAAGAAAGCATTAAAATCATAAATAATCACAGAACATTAAAAAGAAAGATAAAAACATAAAATCCCTCAGTTGTATGCACAGCTAAACAGGACTGTTTTTAACCTGGTTTTAAACATTGTCAGAGAGGAGGCCTGTCTCACATCTTCAAGAAGACTGTTCCAGATTTTAGCAGCATGAATCTGAAAAGCAGCCTCCCCATGTTTAGTTCTGACTCTGGGCACTAACAGGAGTCCAGTCCCTGTGCTCCTCAGAGTCCGGGCTGGTTCATATGGGACTAACATGTCACTAATATATTTTGGTGCGAGGCCATGGAGAGACTTGTACACAAGCAGAGCTGTTTTAAAGTCTATTCTCTGAGCCACAGGAAGCCAGTGCAGAGACCTGAGGACTGGACTAATATGGTCGTACTTCCTGGTTCTAGGACTCGAGCTGCTGCTGTTCACATAATACCCCCTCTCATATCCTTGTGTACGCCCAATTGGGAAACACTGCATTACACAACCAATTTACAAACATGACAATTATTTCCGATTACTATTACTACATTGGTTTATATGGTGTTGCAGACAATAACGACAAAACATCCAAATATTTAAGTTATAATTTTTAAAGTAGCTCAGTTGGTGTGTCCTCTGAGTTGAAAAATTGAGGTTTCAATCCTGCTGCTCACGACATAAACATCATTAGTTGAGCGGTCAGATCGACTGACCCACAAATCGGCAGCTATGAAATCAGCTCTCATTGGTGATTGCTGCAGTGTGTCCTTGGGCAAGACACATTCCCCACCTCGCCCCCAGTGTCTGCATGTGTTAATGGGCAATTGGTTCCTTCATATTAAGTGCTTTGGGTGCATTGAAAAGGTAGAAAAAGCGGCATATAATTGTGACTATTTGCCGTTTTATTAGAATAGGCGACTTCAGCGTTGGACAAAGCATGGTTCATTATACTCTTCTTTGCATTTTAGGTATGTTATCTTGTCATTTCTGTCTGTCTGGGGCTCGTGAAGGCACTCCATTCACGTTATGACTCGCCCATGCACAATCTTGTTTGGGTGAGTTATGATAAAAAGCCTTTTCCCTGGATGCCTTCTTAAAACGTGGTGTGTGTGCGAAAATCTCAGGGCTTCGAGGTCTCGCTGGTGTTCAGTTTAACATTGATTTATTCTCTTTTTCCAATTTATTTCTCCTTCGCCCGATCTGCCACTGGGAGGACAAATGGAGGAGAAACGAGCTCCTTAAACACACACAGTGACAAATGCATCCACTGTAAAAACACACTACAATTTATCCTATTTCGAAAAAAAGGAGCAGTCGAGGAACAGCACTAATACCTTTAAACCAGGGCTCTGCGGTTTTGAAGGCAAGTACCGCAAAAGGCAAATCCAGGGAACACCGTGTTTTTAGCTGATTTTACACCAAGGAGTCAGCGGCGTGAAAGTAAAGTTTGGGAAAGCAATAATCAATCCATGTGTGTTGCAAACATATCCCTAAAGCCACAATGCAGAGAGCAGAAGCAGAGGATAAATGTCAAATCATCTTTTAGGAATAACTAGCAACAATGAAAAACTGCTTATAAAAGTCAGGAATGCATCAAAAATGATAACACTCAAAAAAAATATTAAAGGGGAAGAGATATGAGTTATTGTTTTGTCAGGAATGTTGGACAAAATGTCATAAAAATGTGTAAACTCTGTGGAAATAAGCCACAAAAAAAAAACGGGAATTGAATACATGAAAGACGGTGGTGAGTAGAGATCGATTGAGTTTTTTGATTACATAAAAACTTTGATTACGGTGTTGTTGCCCACACTCATTCACTGCCAGCCATATATAAAGCACCATCCCTCATACCTTCAGAGATTTTGGATATTTTAGTGTTTTTCCAAACCTCATATAAATGTGAGCCCTTGGTTGACACAAGTATGACACATACAAAATGAAAGCTCTGTAAAAAAACAAAAAACAG